ACGAAATTATTATTGGGGTCTCCTTGCCTCGTGTCAGTGGCAATAAGAAGTGATAAGTTCAGTAATTTCTTAAGTGCTCTTATTTACTCCTTTAATTACGAGCCCCCGTAATCCCCAAGTCAAGTAAACCGTAGCAAAGAAGGTTAGGCACTGCAACAGGATTCCATCGAATGGAATCGAACTGTCATGACTTTTAGTGCCTTTTGATGGCTGCATCGTCCGACGTAATTGATTAGTTCTCAGTAAATTGAGATCTTTGAAATAGTTTATAGTTTCCTCCCTTTTGCTCGAAAATAGATATCGGGAAAAAAAACACTGGATTAGCATGGATTTAATGATGGACTTGTTAATTAGATATGTTACGCAACATTGGATTAGCGAGGAAACCTCTGATAGGCTTGTTAACTGGAGATATTACGCAATCTGAAATATCTCGTCCTAAATTGAAATATTGCCTTTTATAACTACATCCGATCATCAGCAGACGGGGCTTTTAACTTTTCGTATTTGGCTATTTTTTTTGACGGTCACGCACTACTGTTAGCGGCGCCGTGTGTGTGTATATTTTCAATAGAAAACGAAGAGAGAAAACAGGATGCTGGGTACTTTTGATGTCTTTTCGTTTCTCTCAATTGTGTATAGCATGAACATTTTAGAAACCTAAAAGGACGAAGACAAAGGATCGCCTGAACTGTGCACTACTCAAAGTTTCGTTCAGGGACCGTTCATGCCTTCGTCTGATTAATTTAACCACAATTTAGGGCTGGGGTCTAAGGGTCAAAATTGTTCTGGTGTTTATTAAAGATCCTGAAAAATGTTTGATGTTCAATCTTTCATCGATCAGTTTTGCATATATAGAGGTTGAAGATAGGGGAGATGCTCTTTGAAGAAGTGCAATTTAATCCTTGCTCTGCCTTTATGATGTCTCATGCTCTTTGAGCAATTAAAGAACCCGTCTTCCCGCTAAAATTCGCACCTCTCGCTTGTATTTATTACCCTCTCTTGTTTAGAAGAAGTTATTGTTGGGTCCTCTTCAATTGTTTATATTTTGGTTGATTGGAATTGACTCCTGTTGTCCAGACTTTTATCCAAATCTTTTCGGGTAAAGATAGCAGAATTGGCGTCACGTTGGCACTGCGTGGGCCCTGTGCTGTTTCCTCTTTTCAAAATAGACGTTTCCGAGTGCTATATTTAAATTCTGGGATACCAAGAATGGAATCATTGTCTCCGGCTTAATATATCTTTGTCTATAAATCCTTCCCTTTTTCATTATTTCTTTCAGGGTCAATTGATTTCTTACCTATTCAGTATAACGGTTGTTCTCACCAAACGCATGGCAGCACCATTGAATGAGAAGGTCAGTATATGTTCTTATTTGGTATGATTAGAAACTGAAGCGGGCAATATTGGCCCCCTTTTGACAGCCGACTAGATCGTAGGGTTTGCTTCATCTTGCTCGCTCGTAGCAGGGGGTTTTTGCTAAGTGTTTTTCGGTCCAATAGGTTTACATTTTAACGCTGTTGAACTCGAGAATCCCGCTGACCCTAGATGGCTCGAGAAACTTTCAAAAACTTGCAAAACTTGAACGCAAATAAATCTTCGTCAATAACCACCAAAAAGAAAGGATGCCCAAGGAAGTCCGAAATCCAAACCAAGTTTAGTAAGAATTATCAATCTCGTTTACCATTGAAACCGTTGGAACACTCAAATATAAACAGTAATTCTAATATCGAGCGCATTAAATATAAAAAAAACCCTCGTGTTGATTAACGAATTTTTATGACACCCGAGGGTGCTTGAAGATCTTGTCGAGGCCTTTGGTAGGGAAAACTAGCTGTAAGTAACTTACATAGTTTTCCTTTTCAAACCAAATGAACATAACGAATCCAGATCGTTGGTACAAGCCATTCGATGACGTCAACTGATGTCACGTGATCAAGATTTTTGATGACAAAAAAAATTAAATAATCTGTAGAGACTTCTGGTCTATTGAAGTTAAAAATTGCATTCGCCTGACAACCGCTTTCGCTGCAGCCCTATCGAGGGTCCTTCATTATGACAGTTCTGGAAGGGGCGGTGAGAGAGTAGTCGGGCACTGCGCTCCGTTTTCCGCCCAAAATTCAATCAGTTTGACTCAAACGCTTGCCCCATCACCTCAAGTAATCAACGTTAAACTAGCCAAAAGCTATTGCTTTCGTGGGTATCACGGCCTTCAGGCTTTTTTGGGTTACATCTCATTTCTGTTTTGGTTATACAAAACTGAGTGGATAGGCGTTCCTGCTGTCTTCAGTCCTCTCAATTACTCCAAATTAAATACCTATCGATACTATTCTCCAACTTTTGTTGTTGAAAGACTTCAGAGAGATCATAGTGACCTGGTGTCTCCGAGGAAAAGTATGCACAGACAATTTAAACTGAAGGGAAGATTTCCTTCATTAGGATGTGAAATGCTTTAGCGTGATAGACATGTTGGAATTTTGTTCCATTCTCTTACTCTCTGAATCTTGATCACACCAAGGCTTTGTAGTTTGTATTGTGTATCGTATGTACATTTCTTAAAATTTTGACTCCAGAATAAATTGAAGAGATATCCCCAAAAATTGTCGATACTAACAGACAAATCAACACGATTAACGATAAGGATGACCGATAGAATAGATTCATCCTATTGAACATCCCGGAAAATTAGAAAAAAAAAAAAAATTTCTTCTCGAATGTACCAGCTGCGAAATTCCTCGATAGTAAAGGTAACACCGGGTTAACGAGTTACTTTGGCACTCATTTGGGTCTAGATGGTCGTCATTTATTTTCCATACAATAGTGAGAATTCTTTTTCTAAACATTTCGCTCAACCTTTTCGCTGTGATGACACAGGGCGACACATAATCGCTTACGTGTAGAGAGGTGTAGCAAAGGGCAGCCAGACAGCCGCCAGTCTTAATCTCAAATTAGCTCTAAGTTTATTGAATGATTTACTGTATCTGTCATTAATGTCGCCCACATCCGGCGATAAACCTGACTTATTGGTCGTCAAAGACCCCTGCGGAGGTGAAAATATAAAAAAATTGTTTTCGAAGGAAACTGGTATTGTAGGACCTATTGAAGTGCAGTCCTCGAAAGAAATTTAGCCGCAGCTTTTTTGTTTTCCGCAATCTTAAATCTTGCACGCCTAACCGTGGAAGTTACGAAATGTTATTCGTAACAGTTATCAAAAGGAGTCATAAAGGATCATAAAGTAAGGCGTAATCAGTGCTTGATAACTCTTGGACCATAATTTTGCCTAGGAATCCACAGTGTAAATACGGGAAAACAGATGTGTATCAGTCTGAAAATTTAAACTATGACGAATGTACTTCAATTCTAGTGTCTTCTAAAAATCCAGTCAAAACAAGGTTAACACTTATTAACCTCAAAGTTTGAAATATACAATATGGTTAGATTAGCAGTAAATTCTATATTGATCGTACAACAGGCAGGCCCAATGGTACTAAGCTGCCTTGCTAGTGTCTCAGCTTGATATTTTAAGTCTAATGCTGTTTTTTTTCCTTAACAATGAACGTAACAAGATGTTATTTTTTGAACAATTGCCACCATAGAAAAAAAAAAAAAAAGTGAACGAATAAATGAAGGGCGCCAAAGGGCGTTAATAATATCCAAACAATTAAAAGTATTTTTGATAAAACATGCAGTCACTTGCTAAGCGCTGCAGTTTCTTCGCTGCTTCGTTCCGCGCGTGTACTTGGTTTCATTGGTGTTCCCCCTACCAAATCTCAGGAACAGACCACCAAGCGACGCTTTCGAACAGGTAATCTTGTTTTTAAACCGTCATTTACATAATCTTTCACTTTTTCTGGCTTATTACCATTTCGCAATTTTTTCCTTTTTTTCTTTTCTCCGTTCGACTTTGAACCCTGCATCGTGTCGCCTCTCTGATGATGAGCGGTTAAAACCGCCCCTTTACTCTTATATACCACGACTTTTATGTCGCTGAAGGTGCGGAGGTTTTCAGTTTGCTTTCGCACAATACCAGTCTTTATCAGTGCGAGTTTTTTCCTTCTAAATTTTGTACCTCTTTTACAGCCATTTTGGAGAGAAACAGTTACTGGGACTAAAGTTTATTTGATATTCCGCCTGAGTGAATTATACAAAATGTCTGAGCTCTAGCTTTTCCAAACATTTCTGGGGGCGTGCTATTTTAATTTGTATGCAGAAACATTTCAGCGGCTGGGAGTGTTTAGGAAGAAGATTTCAGTCTTGCTGAGTGCTTATTTCATTTCATCTATTGCCTCTGCAATACGCACATCATAAGAGAAACTTTACCCCCATAACTTGGTGTATAATGTTGGTTCTTATTCCGACATATTCTTCACCGAAGGCAGATAAATGTCAGCGTCTGTTTTGATAAATTATTGAGTCCTCGATAGTTGCGGTTTTTATATTTGTTCTTAACTTCTCTACTTTCCAACAAAAATTGAACCGCATGCCATGTTCGCCTTCCAATAAAATTAAACTCAATCTTGTTCAGTAAGACAACATGACAGTTAAGTCAGCGCAGAAGTTTCAATGAAGCTTATCTTTTAGCAGTCTTTATGGCCAACAAGACTGAATGGTTTAGAAAGTAACATTCTGTTCGGTTGGGAATTTGTGCAATAGTCTGCACTGCATCCGAAATTCCCTAAATTTAGCTTAACGAAAGTTTATCCACTCTTTCTAGAGAATATGGCTTTGTATTCCTTCTCATTCGCTATCGAAGTTTAGGACATGCGAATCTTTAATATTATAAATTGTGACTTTCTCAAATGTTCGTTTTTGTCTTGTTTGTTCTTAATTTTTCTACTTCCAAACAGAGGTGGAAAGATGCTTCTGCCACCATCAAAATGCCTCACACACTACAGTGTTACCCTAGACTTAAAGTATGCTCATGGCGATGATCTCGATAGTTCGCTGCAAATGATCCGGGTTCTTTTTTCTACAATCTGTTTTTCGATCAATTTAGATGGTTCAAGTTTACTGTTCTTTTTATTCTGAGAACTTGCGATGTCGTCTTTATTGCTTTTGTGGTACCCAAATGTAAACAGGGAGTTTTACAATGCAGAAATTCCTCCGCTTTAGATACAAAAAGTGGCCCCGTATTAACTCCGAGATGGCAAATGAAACTCTTTTTGGATCAATTTGCCGCTTTTCAATGTTGTATTGTCTCTCAGAGCACATTTTCTGGTTCCTGACAATAACTGAAGCCTCTCTCTACCCCCCTAAATAACATCCCTTAAAAAAATGTTACTCAAAAGTACACGCTGATTAGCCCAGGAGATTCACTGAAGAATTTTTTTTTGATAATCCGTTTAAAATATGCTAAATATTTACCCTTCTCTCTTTGAAGCTATCAGCATCCTTTTTCAGCCAGAATTGCGTATTGTCTGAGACCTTTTGTCACTGTTATATGGCTATTACTCCCCTTGTGATATTGGGATAATAATTCAATACCTTTGTTTTTCAGAACTACTGATATTGTATTAATTCCCTAATTGTGATAAGATTACCTGACATTTTCCAGATTTTTTTTAGATCTGAAATAATCACGATAATGCTTCCTGCGAAATAAAATGTAAGCGGGAGTAGAACGAAGTTCTTGGCTCCATCAAAAGAAGATTGCTCTTCAATTTGATCGCACAACGCTGTGTTGTTGTTACACAGCTGAAGTTCTTTAATCGTATTTCAAAGTCCATTCCTAATTTGGTGTAGAACGTGCTGACGTGTCCGTTATCAACACCCAACAATGTCGCCTTCGCTTTTATTCCCTTAACGTACAAACACGCAGAGCTGCTAATGTTTTGATTAACGGTGAATTTCTATTATAGATAAAGTACTGAATACGTCAAGGATGTCCCTTAAGGTGCGAAAGTAGGTTAACTCAGCTTCCATAACGAAAAAGTAAACATCTTTCTAACAATTGTTCGTTGTGTTGGTTCCCCGATGTTTGCGCCAAAATAGTTTTACTAGGGGAATAAATTTTAATGAAGGTAACTAATCTTAGAAGAATAGTGTACTAGAAGCGATTAGCTAGTTAGGTATTGTTTTATAAAGATTTCTCGTTCATGGGCATTTGCGCTGCTGATTTCTGAAAACCTTAATGCACAACTGATATAAATGCTTTCTGCTGTAATATGGGGACTGTATTGTGGAAGTTCAGTACCCTTGCTGTATAGTGTTCGTGTTCCTCAGTGTGCCACCCTTCATCGGCTGAAATGCTGGCTAATCGTTTGCAATAAAAAACAGAGAAAAAGGCAATAGTTAACCTTTACAGTTTTACATCAAATGGTGGCTAGAACAAAATATTTATCTCCACTACTGTCTATATAAATATTTTCACATTTAACGTACTGTTTTGTGGAGGACTTCTGCGTAGAAACCTCGGCAACTGAAACATATCCAGGGTTAGTCTAGGCAATGCCGCCTTCATGATTGTAGCTGTAGTCTGCCGATATTCCTATATCTTCGGAATATTTTTTTATTTATTGCTACCTCTGCCTTGTCGAAGCGAGCTTGTTACCACGAAGAAGTCAAATCGAAGTTAGAGCCTGAAACAAAGACTAGATAACGAACTATGAGAGCTGTGAAAATCTTAAAGTTCAGCACAAGCAAACTGGTCTGCTGAAGTGAGCAATTGCTCTGCTTCAGAAGCTCATACATGTTCACAATTCGCTCTATAAAATTCCTTCCTGATTCCTGTTTCCAGAAACTTATCAAAATCAGGTACTTTTGCCGTGAAATATCGATTCCCCCAGTCGTGAACGCAATGCACTTAAAGAAAGCTCAAAACGTTCTACTTGTGCATGTATTACTTGACAGAGTTCGAGACGAAATTAAAACTTTTTCCGAACATGTCTTGTCATCTTGCGTATTTGGGCAAATGAATTTAACGAAAGGAAAGAGTAAACTATAATGGCAGCTTCTACCTTCAATTACCAAAAAAAGCAGTCTAAACTTAATGGAGAACTTTGTCTTTCTCATCGTCTTAATCTCGAAACAGTGCGAACGAAGGCACGCCGAAAGAAAAAAGGTCTCTCTCACCACAACTATCAACCAACTTATGCTCTGTGCAAAAGCCTGTCGTTCATTCGATCATTTTCATCTTCGTCACAACTACTAAAACAGTCTCACACAAGCGACAACAACATATTACAGAAAACATTTTGTTTGATTATAATTTCAGCTACGAAACGCAAGAGTAAAGGTTGTGCTTTTTTTTTTTCCACCATTAACATGCTTCAGCTTACCCCAAGTTGAAGAACCTATCGTCGAATGCAAGCTCGGCTAACACTTTAAGTTCTTTGCTGCGACCCTAACTCGCTATGCCCTCTGTTTAGATAGATCCTCCAATTCTACAGTCTCAGTGACTCGCCTCGAGGTGGTCGTATCTCCTTTTATTTTCGAAAACTCGAATGGTGAACCAGTAGAGCAGGCAGTTTTTGCGTGTGTTCAAGGTTTCCTTTCGTAAGGGGAAGAACAACGAATGAACACTTGCGCAAAGTTCTGAAGATGTTTCTTCTCCGGTTTGTACTTGTGTTGAATGTGACCTCCCTGAACAGTACGTTCGCATTATCAAATTTATTTTGAGGCACGTTTCAGTCCATGTTTTCTCTCCAAGAGTAGCACTTGAGTAGATATTTGTTTAACTCCTACAAATTGAAACTGGATCGTTCTTAAGAGGCGACCACCCTATTGAGTAAACCTGCGCGGACCATTATCTTGAATGCAGCATTGACTGCTATTTGTCACCAGTTGACAATCAGTAGAGTCTACGTTCCCAGCGGATTCCTGTCAAGATTTTTAACCACCGGAAATTTGGACTTGTGTTAATGGTTTTGAGGAGATAAGTTTGAGCGAGCTTGGTGTATAGTGTGGCTGTTAGTGGAATTTGTAAAGAATATATTTCAATGAGACATTTTTGAAAAAAATTACCTGGCTTTCCCTTAACATTCCTAGAGCTCTGAGTGAAATAACTTTTCCCACCGCAGTATGCTTTAAATCAATCTTACGTCATGAACTTGCGTCATAAACTAAGAATATTGCAAAAGGGTCTCTAATCTTCTTGCAAACACTTAGAAACTTACCCCACGTAGATATTGATATCAATTTATACCGCGCCACTCAGCTAATATTGCATAAGACTAATCTTCCATAGCGCTTACTTTAAGCTCACTGAACTAAACTCTTTAATACTTTCCAATGACCTCGTCGCAGAAAAGAGTGCGATGGGAGGAAAAGGTATATTAGGCCAAACTTTATCAGTTGACAGCGCGAAGTACATCCAGCTATGACGAAAACCGTAAAAGTAATAAGTACCCGGTGAAGCTCTAGTTAGAGAAGCTATCTTGTTTCGTGACAGACTTGAAAACGGAGAATTGAATGCAACATACAAAACTAGCTTGCAGCTGGTCACGTGGAAATGCCTTTTGTATGTGATTGAAGTAATTATTTAGCACTAAAAGTACATTATAAGTCTTCCTTGTAGCCCTTTCCGGCGTCGTCACGCAAGCGAAAACTCCCCCACCAACGGCTGCTCACATTCGAACAACAGTACTTTCCGGAAATTGGCCAATCAGCACTTACCATATTCTGGAAAGCGTTCGCGCCTCATTAATCAAACCAATCACAGAGTTCGTATTATCCGAGCGTTGAAACTGACAAAATGAAGACGCTTTCGACTTAGTGCGAGATACTTTTGGTATTGAGAGCTTGACTTCGCATCAGAGAGAAGCCATAACAGTAATTATAGAAGAGAAAAGAGATGTTTTTATAAATTTGCCCACAGGATTTGGGCAAACAGAACAGCGATCATTATCTGATATTTTCTTCGGAGTTTCGATGACATCAGATTCCAACTTTAGAAACTAACCCTAACGGGCTTCCTGTGAATTCGCGGGAATAAATATATCGCGTGTTCATTGGTTGTTTGTCAGACAATAACTTTATTTTGATTGGATAACACATTACAATGGGAAAGGAATGTTGTTCGAATGTGAGCAGCCGTTGGTGGGGGAGTTTTCACTTGCGTGACGACGCCGGAAAGGGGTGCAAGGGAGACTAAAAGTACATCATTAGGTAGACGAATTATTCGAAGCAGCGACTCAAAAGTATACTTATTTTCTGGATCTATGCTTTTCGTTGCCAAGAAGGGCACGTCTGTATTGTTACGTTTGTTGACTTGGCCTTCATGGGAAAATTGCGACCTGAAATTTTTTATTTTAGGCAGACTTTTGTGTGAGCCTTACTTTCAACCTCAACAACCACATTTTGTGGGTGAAGACTGTTGCAATGTAAGGTTATCAAGTAAAAGCGGAGGTGCCCATCTTAGTCCTGAGCAAGGGAGTAAGTTTCTAAAGAAACTGTGGTGCTGCGTCGTTGGGCCGGGTAACAAGGTTGTAAATTGGCCACCGTAAAGAGTTAAAAAGCTGACGTTTCGAGCGTTATCCCTTCGTCAGAGCGAATGGTGAATGGCGATTCGTCTGAGCGATTCGTCAGAGCCCATTCGCTCTGACGAAGGGCTAACGTCAGCCTTTTAACCCTTTACGGTGGTCAATTTGCAATTTCAACTTAGTTGAGTATTACAAAATTACCTTAGTCCTGAGCAGTGTGAAACCTTCAAGTTTTAAAAAACTTACAACTTTCATCCACTAGAAGGCTCTCTTATTTAAACATATCTCCCTGAGGTTAAAAACTACTCAACGAAGATGCTGTTCATATCTTTGAATTGTGATTCTTCACTATCGTCATGTTTGTTTGTCATTGATTATCGTTTGTTGGTCGTCGTTCTTTACTTTCAATTTTCATATACTAAAAGGGCTTCATTAAATCATATCTTGCAGAGGCTAAGAATAACTCAAACGAAGATACTACATAGAAATCGTCTTTGAATCGTTGTTCATCAAAATTAATCGCATGCAAGCAGTTTAAAAACGATGCCTTAATTGTGAGTTAAGGAGCAAGCCGTGTTGGTTTATCGCTTGAGAAGTACGCTGATCTTACAGTAGACTAGGTATATGATGATCATAACCTGCATGGTTTCATTTCCAAGTGTGATTATGTTGTTCGCTTATACTATGTTCATTTTGATTCATCCACCCACAAACTGTCATTTCAAGGGGTTGGCAAGGTGTTTATACGTGACGCGCCCAAAATCAAAACGTAAAACGAGAATTTTTCAGAAAGGCAAGTGAGATTTGAGGGTTTTTCTTTTAAATTCGAGACTCACGAAGTACTGCTCCATGTACACGTGACACATGAATCTTTCTAAAATTTGTACGCGAAACGGGATTACATAAAAAATTCATTTATCATCTCTTCCAAACGATCTTGATAAGCTCTCATTATTTCGAGCACACAAGCATATTGGCTAAAACGCCAATGGCAACAAAAGTGGAATCTTGGTTGGATTCAAATGGGTACAACAACTTATTTGTTTGATTTCGTATTTTGAATGTATTGATGGTAGCTAAGCGTCATTCTTAAAACTGTATATGTGCACGATCCTTCGCAGTAAAGCACTATTTGACCAATAGTGAAAATCAGACCTGAAAAAAATTTCAGGCCTGTACGGGATTCGAACCACTGACCTCTGCGATACTAGTGCAGCGCTCTACCAATTGAGCTAACAAGCCAACTGGGAGCAGGCCATCAAATTAATTCGACATAAACCCGTAGATGATAAATCAAACAACAACAAACATATGAAACATATGTATGAACTGCGGTTATGAAACGTATATGTGCACTGATCATTCGCCACTGTGTGGCGATGATCAACTTTTTGCATTGTCTGGTATCTCGGACACAATATATCTCTTACGATATTGAATTTAAAGTCTTCATTGCGGTTGCCAAGGTCGCATTTCCGTATTAAGTCGCTTAATTGAGCTCAATGAGATATTATATAAAAAGGAAGCTAGATTAAACCCTATGTGGTGAAAAAATGCACAAAAGTCTAATTTATTTCAGACCAGAAAGTTCCCTGCCTCACCATATTGTCTTTAGTAAGGCGAGGGAAGCCAAACTTACTGAATACACACCGCACACCATATCAAAGACTTCACTTGCTATAAAGTATCAAAGTTACAGACTAATTTGGTCAGGAAAGATCATTTAACAGGTTAGTGGCGACTAATGATGAACGAACGCTTACTTTGAAGTTTTCTTAACTCGAATAGATGTCTCCATTTACTAGACTTCAAAAACGCTTCTTGTTAGGTTTGCTATTTTTTTTTCTTGACCATCCGTGCACAAGCAATAAACTTAGTTCAAAAAGCTTTCGAGATTCGATAAAAGTCACGATCGCTTTAGCCAAGTCGTTGCATTACTTAAAAAAAACCTTCCGTCGGCTTGAGACTGAGGTTTTGTTAGGTCAGATAGCTCACTCACACGGCAGCATAGTCGTAAAGGGCAATCAAGAAGGACTTTATGATATTGCGAGCTTAGGCAGTTTTGAAGGTTGTTTGTGTTCTGTACAGTAGTCCTCTAGTTCCTAACATTTTCTGTTTTGGAGTTACGTCTCTGTTTTAATGGGAATTAACCCTTTTATGGATTGTAGCTCTTTTGTTAGATTGTAGCTCATGTGATCAGAAATATTTTTTTTCAAAAATGGTACAATTACGAAAGATGCGAATGTAGGAAAAGAGCAATTTATTTGAACGTCTGCAAAAAATTGGGCAGTGTGCCAGCTAATGCATTTTAGTCTTGGTTTTAAAATTGGTTTGGAGTTCTCTTTCTTAACATGATTAGCAACTGACGAGATAAAGTTTTGAATACAAGTGATGAGCTCACTCTACTTTCTCTATCTTGATGTAAACATAATTCTTCCGTGAAAACGAGATCAAGTCAGGAAACCATAATCATTATTCCATGAAGCAGTGAGCTAGTTAAGATTTTAAATGGCATACGTCTACAAAGCTGAGTAAATCTGAAAAAGGTTGGTTTGAAAAATCGTTTGGTTCAACCAAGACGACTTCAACTACTGAGCAGAGAGGTGTAATAATCTAAAAAATTATAAGCCAAATACAACTATACTTGGTTCAGTTAAGCTTTTTGCAAATTAATTCCCTTTAACCTGCTTCTCGTGCTGTCATATCCTCGACCTTTTACTTCAGGGTTCAGGGTTCAGTTTTGCAATTTGATTATGTTTAAATTTGACTGGGCGCACAGTAGGTTTTGTCGAGGTTGTTAATTAAGGGTCCTTGATAGGTTTCCGGTAACCAGAGTTTAGCTTATTTCAAATCCATCATTTTGGGGGTAAAAATGAGCGAAATTCGGGATTAGAACTTGGAACGCAACACAAGTTTGGGCACTTACTGTTTAACCAGGGAATTTTGAACTAAGATATTACTTTGGAAATAAAATGTATTTGGAAATACGGAGATCTCGTAGGTCCAATCGCAAAGTTCATTTAGAAAACGAAACTGTCGTCCTTTAAAGTCGGAAATAGCCGATCAGGGAAGCTGAATGCTTGATAACGGCGTCGTCTAGGGCTAATTATATATAAGGAGCCCCTTTATTGTTACTGTTATTATTTTGAATGCAAGAAATACAAAGTAGCGCAAAAGCTGTGTATAGTGGTAAGGTTTTTATATTCAACATGTACTTCGAAACTTACTCCAAGTCTAATTCATTATTGATTGGTCGTAGATAATCTCGAAAGATCGCTGATAGCAATAAGTAATTGATCATATAGGATTTAAAAAAGGTGGCATACAATTTGCCTAGGAGTTGATAAAAGAAAATTCTGTCCCACAAGTGTGCCAATTAATTGATAATGTCAAAGAAATTTAAGAACTAAAAGAATTTATCCAAAAGTAAGCGTCTCCTACGCGAAGAAGAATATTTTTGATACTAGATGTTTATGTTTGTGGCTTCGTCACCTAAACAACCGATTATCGAGAACACGAGGTTTTAAAATTCCTCGTTGTACTAAATCATTGTCTCGTTTGCAGGTTTCAACACATTAAATTAAAGCGGATGAACAAAAAAATTACTTATGTCTCATCGCTTTTTATAGCTGTTGGACATCGCCCTCACAATTGTTTTCAAATCATTATCGGATAAAGGGTATTGAAGCATTTTTTTAATCTTTCCGATTTTTGAATTCTCTAGAACAGCCTCACACTTAACTTTTTTTAATCAACTGACCCTCGGCTGTTGTGAAGATTTAAAGCTAGAATAGACAGTTAACAACCTCTTCAGAGCTAGAAAATTTGGCTACTCATCGCTAACTGGCAGAATTTCCGTTCTATCCTAATATGGGACCTATTTTTAAATAATTCCTAGCATTTCCCACTTGAATGGGCAACTTGAAACGTCTAGGCGTATAAAAATCTAAAGTATCGTGCATCTTATTTCGCACATGTTGTTTTGAGCAGGAGAAAAACACGCCATTCAAAATTTTATCCGCTCAATTTTGATAGAGTCTAATCTCAACGTAATAACGCCCATCCAGCTAGCTAAAGTTACTGAGGAAGGTAAGGAAACTGAAAGTTTTCAATAATTTCTAGTATGGAGGTAAAATGTGAGGGCTAGCTTGCTCAATTCGGGAAAAAATTGGTTTTCTATCAAAGTTGCCGGGATATAGAATTATGAGATATCATGCTAAACTGTTAGAACTTGACGACGATGTTAACCTCAGATTAGCTATACGTGGGTAGATTCTAAAGAGCCAGTACCCTGTTTAGATCTACTGCTATGGGGAATTGGTTTAATTCTTCCTTCACGTGCCATTTCCATGTCGTTGAAAAGCGAAACCAGCTTTTTGAATAACCTGTGTAGCGGCTGATATTGCACTGAAGAGTCTGGAGCGAAGAACTGTCAGCTGGAGTTGCTCCTGTAAATATTTTCTCACTGGGTTCCTTCCAGTGATCGGCATATTTGTCCCTTCGCTGTTTTGCACTCTGTTCACTTTTATTCCTTAGTAATAGTGAAGGAAAGGTATGCTTGAAAAGTTCAACTGAAATACTCTAAAGACACGGTGTTTTTGCGAAAATACCATCGCAAACAGCGAGTTAGTCATACCAGTCCACAAGTTGTCGTGCTCTTGTAGAAAGCTGTACTCGTTTAATCTTTTTTTAAATTTTGGTGCAGTGTAAGTTATAATCCCATGGGATATTTACAAGGAGGGTTTCTTCTTCTTTTGTCCTATTGCAATTATAGTTTGGCATGTTTGCATTTGGCTGCTTCAGCATGACTCTTTTGCCACTGCGAAACAATTGTGAAATCTACAATTTACGAGGAAATTTCTCGAAGCTCGCGTGCTTTAACTCAATGAAAACCAGGCCATAATAGTATTTTTCTTAAAAAAAAGAGAAAGAATAACCTTAAAGTGTACTTTGATCTCGGGTAAAGAATGCACTCGATAGGTAATTAATAGAAAGTGTTTTATCATTAGGCAATAGTGATGATGAGTGACCGTTCAATGCAAGGCACAAGCAGACATATTTCGGTATAGAAGCAGTATGTTTTCCATTGTGAAACCGAAGGGGCAAAGCTCGATCTAAATTCGGTTAAACATAACTGAGCAAGGTTTTTCACCTTTTTTTATACTTTTGCACAGTTTATCGATCAGCCAGTCGTTTCTTTACGTTTGTTATAGTTGCCGATGTTAAGTAGTTTTCGCTGTAATGGACCACTTATCAAGGGGAGCTATTCATGTATACACTTTCGTCTTCTATCACTCATTTAGGGCAGAGAATCCTTGTGCTTGTGTTGTGTAATTGGTGAAAAACAATATTTCTAAGTACTAAATAGTGCAAACAGATTGCTTAACAGGCATGCTAGCTGACCTTTAGATTTTTTTGCTCAGTGGTAATACGGAGACATCACCCCAACAGAACAACCGGGGCATCGACACTTTTTGAAACAGGCATGTGCAAATTGCCATCCCAGGGCTAAAACGGAGTCGAAATGCCTTTTACTGAACTGTAAAGATGGTCATATGCCCTGCCCCGACCCGATTTTTTAATCGTTCACCGGTTTGTCTATCAGTTAGTACCTCTTAATACTCTTGATACCATAAGTCCTTAGGAGATCACGGAGCAAATTGCATCCACTTGGGTATCCTGCCAGAAAAAAATATATGCACTTGGAGGTGTTGTTGCAGTGATGAAACAAAAGCTCATTTTCTGTCGCTTTGTTCTGAACATTATGCCATCCATCGAAATCGGAGGCATAAGTGTTGTTGCATTGATGAAACAAAAGCTCAATAACTGTCGCTTTGTTGTGATCATTATGCCATCCGTCGAAATCGGAAGCATAAGTGTTTTTGCAATGATGAAACAAAAGCTCATTTTCTGTCGCTTTGTTGTGAAGAATATGCCATCCATCGAAATCGGAAGCATAAGTGCTTTCGAGCATCAGTTAAATTCGCTGAAGACGATGGTGAGAATCCGTGGAGGAAGTCATTTGGTCTTCAATTTCGAAATTACCTCTTCCTAAGCTCTCTATCTCGAGTGCCAGATAGTTAAAACAGTTATATGTTTAGATTTTAAAGATATCTTGATAAGTATTTATTGAAAATAATCATTAACAGCAGGTACGGCAATTGACTCTCTTTTTAGAACGAGAAAAAGCCAAGCATTTATTACGGATAGTGTTACATGCAAATCTCTCAGAAGGATTAATGGTCATGAATTCGGACGGCCATGGATAAACAGAAAGTATTAGAATAAGAATAGTTTTTTGGTCTTCGTGATATCGCCGAGTTATTAAAGATAGTTATTTATCTATTCATCAAAGTTGAACTTTTGGGTGGGTGTCTGTTAACTGTCATGTAGTAAATCCGTGTTAACATCAGCCAATAATGCTTTTTTAATTTGGCGCTTTAGGACAAAGCGTCTTGTTCATTCTCTTGTCTAATGGATCATTGAGTGCTTTTGTCTGAATTCTGTGGCCTGAGTATCAGGTTTTGCTGGAACAGACGAACAAACAGGAAAAAAGGAACGATTTTATTTTCGTCTCTTTGACAAATGATAAGGCTATTAATTAAAGGGTAGTATTTTATTAGACAATCTATGCAGCGTTCAGTGTGACTGATATCCTTGTGGGTGATAGCACCTCGGTACCCTTTAAAACTAGCAGATTGTCGGTAACCCATGACCTTTAAAAGATTAA